TCCCCCTCCCTCCCGATCCCGTCCCTTCCTCCTCCTCCTCCTCCTCCTCCGCCTCCTCCTTCCCCGCATCGCGCCGTCCGGTCGCCTGTCGCCTGGCACCTTCCATTCACCACCCCCCCCACACACACACCACAGCCACCGCCACAGGTACAGCCATACAGGTACAGCCACCGCCACAGACACCCCACTCCACACAACTCCACGCTTCTTCCTCTCCACCTCTCCGCGTCACACACTCGCCTGTATGGCCGGTGCATGCTTCGCCTGCCCCTGTGGCGCCTACGTGGGACAGATCACCAACGCCGCCGCCTGCGTCTGCGGCCACCCGGTCGACCTCCACCACGCCTCCGCAGACTCACCGCCCGAGACACCGCCTGCCTCTGCTGGAGCCAGCTCCTTCTCGCCGCCGTCGTCTCTGCCACCGTCGTCGCCGCCGTCGTCGGCTTCTGCTGATGGAAGTCCAGGCAGTGTTGAGCCCGCGCCATGGGCCCACAACCCCATCCATCGCATGGCTGCCTCGCGCTCCACCTTTGAGCACCGTCCGTCGCCGCTCTCGGCCGAGAAGCCGCGCATGTCCGAGGACATCTTGCCCATCCGTGCCTGGTTGCTCTCTACCGGTACGCCGGCTGCGACCATCGAGGCCATCGACAACCTTTCGTGGGAGACTCTCGGCGCAGGCAACGCCAACCGCGTCCTTGATCGCTTCCGCTCCTGGTTCGGCTCAAAGGGTAACGGCATGTACCTCGAGTACACCAACCTGCTTGAGAACCTCGCACCCGACGCCGTGGCGAGGGTCTCGACCACAGACAACTTGCACTCGCCCAACGCCTCGTCCTCGGGCGGCGACGACGTGCCGGTCACCCCGCCGCGCCGTAAGCGCCCGCCGCGCGACTGGGACGCCTGGCGCGACGCAGGAAGCGACGATGAAAGCGCCGAGATGGCTGGTTCGGCCTCGGGCTGGCCCGCACCCGACAGTACGACACCGCTCAAACTGCGCCTCTCGCCGCCACCGCCAGTCGAGCCGAACCCGTCGCTCTCGCGGCTCGCCATCGCCAACTCGGCCACCGCCCGTGCTGCCGCCCGTGAGGACGCGACTGCTGCTGCTGAGCGCTTCTCCAGCACACACTCGCTCCGTCATCGCCGCAAGCGCCATCGTCCTCCGCCCAAGCTTGACCTATCCTCGGTCGCCGCCCCCGGCACCGACATCGCCTGGACCGTCTGCGCCTCGGTCGAGTGCACCAAGGACGCCAACCCAGACGACGTCTTCCACCCGGGATTTTGCTCGTTCTTCTGCATGTCACGCGCTGAGGACGCCCAGCTGCAGGCCGCCATGTTTGAGTCTACGCGCGGCACAGTCGCCATCACCCCGCGCGGAGTCCGCGGCCTCGAGAACATGGGCAACACCTGTTACCTCAACACAGGCCTCGAGCTTCTGTTCAACCTCCCGTTTCTTGTCTCGCCACGCGATGGTCTCTTTGCACCGTCAGATGCCTCGCCGCGTGGCCTCCGTGAGCAAGTCGCTGCCCTCGCCCGCACCCGCGCCGAGCAGGCTGCCGCCTTCCGCGACGCCGGTGACTGGGAGCGCGCCCTTGCCTCCTTTACCCTTGCCGCCGCTCTCGACTCGAATCGCGAGGTCCTTGTCCGCTCCGACCTTGAGCTCTGCACTGCCATGGTTGCCTCGGTTGGCTCGCTTACCACTGTTCGGTACGTGCCTACTGAAGCCACAACAACGCCAGAGACTGAGGCTTCATCCGAGGCCAGTGCCAAGCCCGAGCACGAGCACGAGTCCGAGCCCGAGCCAGAACCCGGCACCAGCCCTGAGCGTCAGCGCAGTCCCACCGCCGATCCCCGAGAGCTGCGCCCAGTCCGAGTCTCGCTCTCGCCTGAAATGGAGCGCATCGCCACTGTGCTTGAGGCCGGCAAAGTCCTCATGGCCTTTCGCAAGCTCCTTGCTGACGTGTGGATGCCCGACGCGGCTACCCCGCTCGAGCCCAAGGCCGTGCACGACGCCTTGCCACCGACCAGGTTTGGCAAATGGGCTCAAGAGGACGTCCACGATCTGCTCTCGTTCCTCCTCGACGCGTTGGAGACAGCAACATCGACTGCTGATGATGTCTTTGAGCTTGCATCTGCCCAAGAGAACGATGCCACTCTCGATGCCGTCCGTGACGCACATCCTTCGCTTGTTGCCGATGCCACACTCGGCGTTCTGTATCACTCGTGGCAGTGCACGACGTGTGGCGAGTCGCGGACGGTTCGCGAGCCGTTCTCCTGGCTCACACTCCCGATCCCGGATGCTACTGATGACGATCCTGATGATCGCCGCCGTCGTGGGATCTGGTCGACGATTGTTTTGCCGCCTACCTCAAGCCCGAGGTGGTCGACAACGTGATGTGTGCCGGCTGCGACGGCCCACGCCCGTGCGAGCGGACAACAACCATCGAATCACTGCCCACAGTGCTCTTTGTCGCACTCTCGCGGTTCGCTGGCTCGTGTGCGCTGCGCAAAAAGACGGACACCGTACGGTATCCGCTAGCCAGCCTTGTCCTCGATGGTGCTAGCGATGGCTCGTACATGCTCACCGGCGTCGGCCTGCATCGCGGACCGTTTGGTGGCGGCCACTACACCTCGTACGTCCGTTCGCTCGCCGACACCTACTGGTACAACCTCAACGACGAGTACGCGTCGCTGCTTGCCGAGCCCGAGGTTGACGTCATCTCGCCTCACGCCTACGTCCTCGTCTACACCCGCGCCGACAAGTGGGACGCCGCGCGTACCGCTGTGGCCGGCACCGTCCTCGACTGCCACAATCTCACCACCTCGATTGCTGGTGCAGAGTCGATCCGGCCCGTCCGGCCCGACCTCACCACAACACCTGCGTCACCGGACGCTTTTACTCGCCCAGGCACCGCCATCTCGGACGCAGAGCTGTAGCAGCTCGGTTGGTTTGCTGGCCGATTTTACTCCGACTCTGCCATCTTTTCGACAACAATGCGCATGGCCTCGGTCGGTGGATCGTCTGCAGGCGGCGACGGGATCTCGCTCTCGCTCTCGGCGCCAGTGTAGACTGGCACGCCGTCGGCCCGAAGCGCCTCGATGACCTCGCGGGGCGTGGCCAGCCCTGTGGGGGTGATATCGGCGGCACCATACTCGCTGTCGCTGGCAGCAATCGCGTCCGACGAACCCGCGCCGCTGTCGTCGGCAACAGCCGCCGCCGCGCCCGCTGCCGCTGCCACGAGCCCGATGCCGGATCCAAACCCGCCGTCAGACACCTTTGCCTGTCTCGTCGGCTTGGCCGACTCCTCCGTCAACTCCAGCACGTCAGCAACCGGTGCCTCGGAAGCCTCGGTCTCAGCATCGACGCCGGCTTCGACAGCCGGTGCAGCTTCGGCAACATCGGCTGCGGCGCTGGCGCCAACGTCGTCGTCGTCGCCATCGGATGAAGAGTCCAGCCCAGCGAGCGTTGACGCGAGCTTGGACGTGGCCTCGGCAGAGACCTCGGGCGGATACAACTGGTCGTAGTAGATGCGATCGGCATTGGGACAGTCTGTGGCGTGGGCGAGGTCGTACGCATACTCGATCATAAACTGCGAGATGGTCGAGACCTTGGACGACATAGCGATCTCCTCCAGCGGCGAAACGTTGGGCAGACGAAGAATGTTGGGTCCCACAACAATAGCAAGGTTGTGGGACGCCATCTTGTTGACGTCGGCAAAGGTGGAAACAATGTTGAGGAAGGTGCAGATCTGAAGGAGGAGCTCGGCGTTGGTCTGCGGGAGAGCGCGGATGGCGTCGGCAACCGTGTCAACGGTCGGGTTGGCCGCGAGGCCAAGGAACACCGGGTTGCACTCGTAGGTGATGAGCGGCTCAGGGAGCTGGCGAAGGAAAAGCTTAATGAGGGCGGCGACCGCAATGGGATCGTTGGTGATCGCGTCGAGGTTGACGTCGGCACGGCCCCAGTTAAAGGTCTCCACCAACAGCTCGACATCCGAGGTGGCGCCAGAGAGCCGGAAGATGCCAGTCAGCTTACACGAGGCATAGTCGTCGCGGGCGAGGTAGTCCAACGCGAGCGCAATGACGTACGGGATGCGCCCGCCCTCGCGCTGGAGCAGGTCGTCCAGCGCAACACCAAAGACCAGCTCCGGCTGCGGCGGGCCACCGACGCACAGGCCCTCGCGCTTGCCACCGGCCTCCACAGCCTCGAGCACCTTGCGCGCCGCGAGCTTCCACCGGTTGGACCCGGTGTACTCGGAGATGCGTTGGGGCGGGCCGCCGGGCATGGCGCCGGCCAGCAGCACATTGGCAGCCTCGGCGACAGCCTGCGGCATGTTGGGCAGCTCGGGCCCGCCCTCCAGCAAGCCTGTGGCCACCGCGCCAAGGTCCCAGGTCACCATGTCCGAGATGGGGCCACCCAGCACCTTACCGTGCCCGGCAAGCACCGCGTTGAGCTCCTTGTCCTTCATCTTGCCTGTCGGCCGGGTCGGTTCCACCACGGGCACCTCGGCCCGCCACACCACCTCGGCTTGTGGGCCTCCGGGCACCGCCCCGAAGCCGGACGCCTCGTCCTTGCTCCGTTTGGCGCTCATGGGGGGTTCGGGTGGTTGGGTGTGGGGTGAGA